ATGAGAAAACTAGATTTGGGGGTACCCTAGGTTGATATCTATGATGGTTCAGCCCCCCCAGTCTGGAAGAAGTTCCCGCGCCACTGCACATAGCCTGCAGCTTTTCCACCTGACATCAGAGTTCATTACGTTTCCGTTACGGGGAATGAGCCAATATAGCACACGCACGGATATTACACCTTTCTACGACAAACAAAACAATACCTAATACCTTTTCCAACACCTTTTTCATAACGTTATCTCTGGCGCGGGCAAATAAGCGCCGCACTCCCGCACTGCCAGCCTAGCATCGTCTTGCCGGTCTTGCCTTTGAGGGCTCCCGGCTTCCCCGTTTCAATAGGGGAAGCCGGGAGGTGTGTTATGTGTGGCTACTGAAAGGGTTATGGACGTCTAGTGGCCAAGACGCTTCACATGCTAATTTCCCCGGTCGCACCGATATGATAAATGAGGGAGGGAAGGGGTCGGTCGACGGACGCGGAGGGGACGGACGCATTGAAAAAGCGGAGCGGGAGAGGCATTGAAAGAGAGAGAGAGAGAGAGAGAGAGAGAGAGAGAGAGAGAGAGAGAGAGAGAGAGAGAGAGAGAGAGAGAGAGAGAGAGAGAGAGAGAGAGAGAGAGAGAGAGAGAGAGGAGAGCACAGCCCGGCGGGAGGGTGCTCCAGACCGTGGGAAAGGGTGAAGACGGTGCACGTGTCGGCAGTAGCTGCTCATAATGGAACGATGAGCCAGGAAAGTATTGAATTCCAACTTATTTTCTCCTTTCTTCACGAGCAGTCCAGCCCACCCGTCCCGCTCCGAAGAGCCCGGCGGAGGAAACCAAAGAAATCAGGGACATTTGACAACTGTCCAGTATACCCATATACTAATATAGGTACTACTAATAATAAAAGTAGCTTGCGACATTCATATAAGTGTGGGAGCGATAGGTAGATGTGTGACATGAATCTCTCTAGTCTTCTGAAAATGAGAAAAGACAAGCATGTCTCTTTCATCCTTTTTTAATGCCTTGGTTACATGAGAGTATTTTTTCATCTGTTTTATTTCGTTATTTCATTAGGTTTGTTTCGTATTATTATTACATAGACGTATTGATATAAATGGGAAGGGCAATTGGAACGTGTTGTTTTTTATATTAAAATTGGCTGCACACGTGTTCCCAACACGTTCCCATTGCCTTTCCCATTTATAGGTTTGTTTCTTTTGTTTTTGCTTTCAGTGATGATGAAAAGAGGTGTTCTTTATTTTCGCGACTGCTACAGTTTCCGCGGGCAAGCCACTTTGTGTGCTCACTATTTATTACACGTGAGCTACAAACAACACATGCTAATCCCAGATCAGATTATTATCAGCAGATTTTCCGTCTCATCACAGTAGCTGCCCATACGACCGACACTTCCCACCAACATTTCAGCCACCCTTCCTTCCATTCCACCGCGGGACCAGGGTATATTCGTGGGACCGGACCGCCTCCCTCCCCTCCCCTCCCCAGTCGCATACCAGCGATTCCCGAGGGAGCGAAGGGTAGCGGGTGGCACGCGATAGCCCCAGTGAATGAGTGGTCCTCTGAGGATAGCGCTGACAATAGCAGGGGGAGGGGAAGGGGTTGGTTATATCGAAGTCAGGGCAGCTGAGCTCAGGATGAATGGGGGACATAATGGGATAGGAGTTAAGCCACCATGTTAAATGCAAAACGCGAGTTTATGTATATGTTGCGGGCCAAGTGCGAAGGCTAGTCCATTCGCGAATGGCCTAGTCCAAGTGCGATAACGCACTTGGACTAGGCCGCTTGCGAATGGACTAGTCCATGTGCGTTATTGCAGTTGGCCTAGGCCGTTTGCGAATGGACGGGCGTTTATGCTCCCAGTCCAAGTGCGAAGTCAGGCCAAGTGCGAAATATCCTTAACCCGCGCCCCGTAGGGCTACCGGCGAACCCTACCACCCGTAGGGGGGGGGGGGGCGTTTCGCCCCCCCCCCCAAGATCTCGGAAAGCTACCGGCCGATTTTCAAAATTCAAACGGCGTTCGATAGCCCCACCCGGGAACTACCTTGTGACCAAATTTAATTGGTCACAAGGTAGTTAAATGCAATGCAACACAACAGTTTTTCGAACACTCACCGCACCGCACTCACCACACACAAGCCGCACCGTCCCGGTACACCACACCAGAGCAGAATGAATCGAGCGCCACAAACTCGACCAAGGTCAGGTCGGGTCATCAGCGGGGAGCCCGGAGCACGGTACTAATGGTCTCCGCACACCACGCGACTCTCCGCTGTTCGAAGGTCACGGGGATATTTGACCTCCCCAGATCCAGATCGGTGGCCGAAGCCTGGCCAGCGGCAACACGTTGCTATAATTTCCGCGTTGTGCAAGGTTCAGCGGAAAGTCGCATCCCGAATGGACCAGGTGTGTGGAGACCTTAACCCAGAGTTGCGCCAGCTCGCAGATCTGCTCCGGAGAACAAACTAAACATATAGACGCAGTGGCGTCGCCACGGATTTTCGACTAGGGGATCTGGTCGGACGGTCAGTCAAAGTAATCCCCACCAAATACTGAAAACTCCTCGGATTTAGACAATTTTATTTTGAGAATGCACCAAAATCGTTTTTAAAATATTTTATTTTATTCTTGATCGATTTTCGTGGCCAAAAGTGTGTGTGTGGGGGAGGGGGGGGGGAGCGTCGGACTGGCATATTTTCAAGAATGTGTGGGGGGGGGGGGTCCGGACCCCTCCGACCCCCCCCCCCCCGTCGGCGACGCCCCTGCATCGACCAGCGGTCCCCCATTCATTCGGAATCGTACCCCAATCCGAGGATCCATGCTTCCGGCGGCTAAGTGCAACGCCACAAACCCGTCCGTTCGCAAACGGCCTAGGCCATTCGCGAATGGCCGGCCATTCGCAAACGGACTAGTCCGTTTGCAAACGGACCGCCATTCGCAAACGGCCTAGTCCATTCGCGAATGGACTAGTCCGTTCGCAAACGGACTAGCCTTCGCACTTGGCCCGTAACATATACACACTAGTCACACTACACACAGCTATAAATGTGACGAGGAAGATTGACGGTCTCATGGAAATATTTTTCCCAACTGATCGATATTGTTTGCTAGAATCGTTTTCTATTGTAGTAATACTAAATAAACGATGCAAACATAAAGGATAAAGAGTTAATAATAGTAAATAAGGGAAAAAGAGGCAGGAGAGTAACCAGCTGGATTTCCTATTTTCAATGCCTACACACAGCTTGACTTTTTGCCAAGATTGGTCCTCAGGATTGGCTTTAGTCGATCCAAACCACCAATTGACCGCTGCCGTCTCAATTGCATCCCAAACAATAATTAGCCCAAACAATAAGGTCCAAACCCAAAACGATAAGCGATTAGCCAGGCGGACAAACTTCGGCTGGCTGCATTAATCCTGGAGTGGGAGGATTTAAAGGAATTAAGGGTGTGGAAAGGGATCAAAAGGAACAGAGTCAGGGTTTCACTCAGCCAGCGTGCAGGCAAAGTGATGGCACCAAACCCTGATCGATTTGTGCTAAAAAAATGCCACATAACACCGAGCAAAACATTACCTACAAATCATTTTTTCAAGACTGCAGGCTAAGGAGAGATACATGTGTGAAAATTCTGGGAACCCTAACGTCGCCTATGATCCTTTGTGGTCGGGTATCATGTTCCGTTCTCTCCCCTCCTCATCCCCTCCCCTTGGTGATCGCTGGTATGCGATTTGGGGGGGGGGAGGGCAGTCGCCTGGAAATGGTCGGGACTCGGGAGAAAGGCCGAAGCTGAAGAGGTGGAGGGAAATGCCGGTCGTATGGGCAGCTATTGCGGCAGGACGAACACTGCTGATAAAAATCTGATGAGCTTGTTGGGAGTGGTTTTTAGGGAGGACAAGATTGTTGTTTGTGGAATGAAGCTGAAATATGACAAGTTTGGAGAATGGACATATTGGGGCAGGAGCTGGCCCCACCGGACTTTTTGTGACAGTTATGTAGTTGCTTGTGAAGAAAGTGAAATTGGAATTCAAGGTTTACCTTTCGCTCCGTTATGAGCAGCTACTGCCGACACGTGCACCGTCTTTCACCCTTTCCCACGGTCTGGGAGCACCCTCCGGCCGGACTCCTCTCCTCTCTCCCCCCTCTCTCCCCTCTGCCTTTTCAATACCTCCTGTCAGCCGACCGACCCTCATTTGTCATATCTGTGCGACCGGGGAAATTAGCATGTGAAGCGTCTTGGCCGCTAGACGCCCATAACCCTTTCAATAGCCACACATAACACGGCCCTCCCCATTGAAACCAAATTGAAACGGGGGACCCGCGCCGGATGGCTATTGGCTTCAAACAGCATCCGCTACCGCAGGGCTGTGGCGAGGGGCGAGCGTTTCTCAAGCGTCCTGTTAGGTTAAAAGGTGTTTGAAGAGGTATTAGCCGTTTACACGACGGCTATCTGGTACACATTTGACATTTGGTTTATATTTGATGCAGATTTGGTGCATATTTGGAACATATTTGGTCAAATTAGGTTTATTGCGTTTCTTAAAAGTTATTTATAGCTTGGGTGCACAATTGGTCAAGTTTGGTGCATTCGCCCGTCGCCAGGTAACTCGTTGTGAAACGGCTATCGTTAGCTTGGATCCTATGTCCTAAGCTATGTTGGATCCTAAGACCATCCCTCCCAGTGATGTCTCGTGGGTCGAGTGCCGGATCTACTCGAACCCGTTCTCACGCAACCGGGAGCCTGCAGCACTCTGATCTAGCTGAGCTACTGAGCTACTGATCATCTGACTGAGCTACAGAACAAACAAGTTATTGGGACTAACGGAAAATATATACACATTACAAATACAAGCATTGTGTTGACAGTTGGCCTAGGGCCCGTTTCAGCTTTGATTGCTTCGAAGTATTGTGTAAATTAGCACATACCTATTGACTCCGCTAGCTATGCTTTATTCTTTGGCAAACTGCAAATTGCCAATGGTTGTTCAGAAAGTCAGTTGTCAGTAGACCCGTAGCAAACATCTCATGTTTGATTTTGCAGCCTAACAAGTCATTTGTGATCTCAAGATTTGTACAGGAAATGAGAAATATACCTAGAAAAGTAGTAGCAGTTTGAATAGCACACTGGCATCCATTTTCAAAAACATTGGACAGGTCCCGGTCCCACTCGCAGCCATGTCCCGGCCGGGAGCGGTACTGCTGCTGCTCCTGGCGACGGCAGCGGCCGCGGTCCGGTACCGCTGGCTGGACCCGGCACCCGTTCATAGCCCTGCTCTTCAGACCATCTCGCTTCAATCAAATATTCAATGTGGGATGAAATGTGAAGAGGAATCTCTGAATCGATGTAATGCTTTCAGTTACAATCCAGCCGACGGCACGTGCCGTCTGTTCTCCGGTCGCTGCGGTGGATCGGCCGGTAACAGCTCTCAGCAGAATATCGGACATTACATGGCCCGCTCGATGTGCTCAGGTGAGATGATCCGACTATAACGTCGCAGCATATGCAAGTTAATAATTGCAATTTGTAACCATCGTTTGTGTCTGATGTTAATGAACGGCTTCGCAGATGCTCAATATCACGATGGGAAAGTGCAAAGTAATATCAGTTTTTCCTATTTCATCTCGAGCTGGCCGCCACTTCTTTTTGTCTTTGATGTTTGATCCCATCAACATTGCTTGGATAGAATTGACCTTAAAAAGTCATGTTTTTTATTGGCTATGTATTATGTAATTATACGATTAAAAGTAACATGTTTCAATTTTCAATGCATCAATTTTGCCTTGAAATAATTTACGGCCACTTATCGCCTTCTCTTACTACTTCAACCCCACAACTAACCGGACATTTTGGTGCCGTTTCGATACACAGACCCGAGTACCTGCGTTTGCCCGCCCGACTTCACTCTCTGCGCCGGCCTCTGCCTGAAGCGGCTGGACGAGGGGGGCGCAGTCAGCCACTCCGAGGCCGTCACAGCCTGCTCCGCGCTGGGCGCCCACCTGGCCGTGCCCCGCTCTCAGCAACAACACCAGTGCACCGTCGACCTCGCCACCGGCATCCAGGTGTGGCTTGGTATCACCAACACCGTGCTGGCCGGAAAGTACACGGGTTTCGACGGCTGCGGCGAGGTGCCCCCGGCGGAGCAGCACTGGGCTGTGGACGAGCCGAGTAACCCCGATACCCAGCCGCTAGTGGCACTCAGCACGGTGCTCGAAGGCGGGTGGAAGGTGGGCTGGCACGACCTCGATGACCGCTTCTCGGCCTGGCCACTCTGTCAGAGGCCGCTGAACTGATACGGAAAACTGGCCGGAAAACCGTCAGACCGTCTAAACGAGCGGAAAACCGTCAGACCGTCTAAACGACCGGAAAACCGTCCAACCGTTTGAACGGCCGGAAAACCGTCAGACCTCCTATACGGACGGTAAACCGGCAAACCTCCTATACGGTTGGACAACAGTCAGACCGTCTAGAAGACCGGAAAACCGTCAAACCGTCTAAACGGTTGTCTCACGGTCGTCAAGCGTCTAAACGCTCGTCTGATGGCCGTCCGACGGTTATCACCTATCACACTGCAATGACGAACACTCCATATATTGGAAGCGTGCACTGATCTAACGGCTCTTGATCTGAGTCCAGTTACACCAACAGAAAGATCACCGGCTTTTGTTTTTATTTCTGAAAGTCTCCGGCAGGTTAAACCAGCCACGCGACAAACTAGCCACTGATGCGACAAATGAGCAAATGGGCTGGCTGATATCAATTTCCACGTTAGCTGTTTTTTTTTTCACGTAGCTGTCGAAATTCGACGGCGGCCTTAGGTAAAAAACCGCAGCTAGTGATTTTGATTATGGCAAAGCTAGCATCTATCTGCAACGTCTTAGCACTATTCTATGTGTTGTGAAGTGCGAACAATAAATGTCTGGTCACTTTCAGTCGTTGTTGCTTGAGTCCTTTAGTAATTAGTGCTACCATGGTACTACTACGAACGGATGTGAACGAGCTGGAACTCACAGCAGTGCTATATTGTAAAATGAAAAGCAGCAATATTTGTAACAACTTTAGCTGGTGAATTGAAGTGTGCGAAAGGTATATGTCAGAAAACGGATTATGAAAAAGGCAAAAGAAAGTAATATGTAATCGAATTAAGAGATACTTATTTTGTTTCATGTGTTCTGCCTTGAGAATAAAAAAAAATATTTTTTATTAACAAGAGAATAATTAACAAAAGAAAATATTCACATTTTCTGTGTCAGGCTCGCAACCTACGACTACATGCTTGAGATTGTATGGTTAGCAGCTAGCAGCGTATCACACGTATTCGAGATTAAAGGGATTATCAGGGTTTAAAAATTGAAAGGAATCGGCATAAATTTCCAATCAATGAACTCCCCAGACTCTGCCGATTCTAAATATATGCATAAAATGTAAATCGGTACCAAAATTTGCGAGATATAGCCGTTTCAAAATTGACAAAATTGTACTTACTCACGCAAAACAAGTACTTGGGCGGCCAAGTTGGCCCATCACTAAAATGTAAACAAAGAGCAGCCTTGGGAAATTTCGCCAAGGCCGCCGCACCGCACTGTCGATTTCCACAAGACGGGCCTTGTCTGTTTTGTTTTTGTCTGCTGTTTTTAGGGCCTTGCAACAAGATTTCAGTGCTTGGCATTGAATTTGAATATGAACAAATTGAAGATTTGCTTTTCAATAAGACAGCAAGAGTTATCAACATTGCCAAAGTTATTATTTTGATTTGGGTGTGATTTGAATAGCTTGAGCTTGTTTGCTGATCATCAAATCTTGATTAATATCATTTAAATGTCAACAATTTTCAAGGGTAAATTTGAGTGTTTTATTTCAATAAATTGAAATGTAAGTGCATCAGGCACAAGAGCTAAGTTTCAATCTGATTATTTTGTCAAGAGTGGTCAATCTAATGTAACGTCTTGCGAGAAAGCTTACCTAAGTGACTGAAGAAAGCGCTACCTACAGTTTTTCAAGATCTATGTTGATCTGTTTTTTCGAACAACAGGTTGTACAACATGATGTTGTGACATGACCTCTGTGTCCTGTACGTCTCCCCTGCTGCTGCAGCAGAGCCCCGGCTTCAACTATAGTTTGTTATGGGTGGGCTCTCCGTGAACGTCTTGGTGCGTTTCTACATATTGCTGCTGTGAAAGGACGGTACATGAAAAAATATGTAACTTGTATGTTTTTTATTGCCCTGGTACCTACTTAATGTATATTTTTGTTGTTTATGAGTGATAAATGAATATATTTTGAGGAAAATTGAGGCATTTCAGTTTTAGTTTGTGGAACAGAACAGAAGAACCTGCTGAGTGCGGATCATGCTTCAATTGAGAGAATCATCCTCAGTTATCTACATATAGGCATGCTTTGTAAGCTCCTTGCATTTTGCCAGCTTCTACTTGCTAGTCAAAGTTGTAAGAAGGGTTAGGGAGAACAATTGGTACACATGCCACCATGTGCAATCACCAAACGAATGAACGTGAGGGCCAAGTCCTTCACACAGCATGGATGCTTATAGGTACTGCACTAATGTATAATGTTCATTATGTTCATATTAGCAACTCACCCAGGCAGCCTGCCTTGTGGTATTTCTGAGTTTAAGATTTTGTAAGACTCACACTAATCATAAGGTAAATTATATTGATATGTATCGATGAACAATGTGCAAAGGGGTCGCACGTGCCTGCTCAGTGCTCAGCCATGGATGCACGTGCCTTCTCAACAATGGGCGTGCTTGCAGACATCTCCATGGACGAACAATGTGCAAAGGGGGGGGGGGGGGCGTGCCTCCGCGGCCGCCTGTTGGCTCAGCCGCTGCTGCTGCTTGGCGCCGCTGAGCGCTGCCGGAGACGCCGCTCGCTGCCGGAGCTGCCGGAACAGTCACCGGAGCTGCCGCCCGCTGCCGGAGCTGCGGGAGCCGGGCCCGCCGCTCATCTGTCGGGACCGCCGACGGCAGCACGCCCGTCTGTCAGGGTCTGTCAGTGCCGGCAGTGGACGCGCGCGGGTGCGGGCCGGGTACGGACGCGCGCGGGTGCGCGCCAGGTACGGGTGCGCGCCGGCTATGGACGCGCGCGCGCTTGCGTGCCGACGATGCACGCTGGGCCGGCGGACCGGAAAAGCGCTAGAAATACCCTCAAGAGTGACTTTCCACAATATGAACAAAATATGTATCATTCGATCCCAAATTGATCAAAGCATACGATTCTGACGCCATTTTTGCCCTAAGGTCGAAATTGAGGTGGTCAGTTGTCACCAAACACAAGACTATTTAGACCCGCTAGTGGCCACCACATTTGCCGATTTTAATGCTCATCTTTAGTTGATATTTATTATTTGACCAGTTGTCGTTTTGAACGCAATTTTCTGTCAGACTAGTTCAGGGCACTGTTGTTCACTGTACCAACAACATTCTTACATATTGCATCGCTTGTCTGCAAGATAAGCTAGCTTTTTGCAAGCAGCTGCAAGACCATAATAAAAATCATATCTAAATTTTTAAATAGACTTTTATAAAAACGTTATTTCGAGCGGCTAAAAATGAACATCTTATACTAGCCTCTGATTACTCATCTTTCGTTCCATATAGGTGCTTTGCTGCTTTTCCCTGCTACTTTTCGAGATATGCGCCAGTGAACCACATGATGTAGGGGCAGTTGTCACCTCGCCGCTCTACTGACGGCCCGGCGCTCTTTAAAGCGCTGAAATTTATGAAAAACAAATGCTTATAATCTGAATAAAATATATGTCCCTGAGCTCCGAATTGATCAACGCACACAATGCTGTCAAAAATTTTGGGCCGAAGTCAATAATTAAGTCATTATAAACCCCCAAACACAAGTCAGAGATAATCAACAACAACTTGCTCTTTAGTTAGACTTTTTGAGAAATGTTATTTCGAGCCGCTAAAGATGAGCATGTCATGCAAACAACTAGTCAATTGTCTTCCATGCCCTATTGACGATTATTGCCTATTACTGCTACTTTTCGAGATATCGTCTGCTAAGCCACCTGATATAGCTGCTATGCCACCCTACCGCGGTAGGGTGGCACCCTACCCTACCGCGGTATGGTGGCATAGCAGCTATATCAGGTGGCTTAGCAGACGATATCTCGAAAAGTAGCAGTAATAGGCAATAATCGTCAATAGGGCATGGAAGACAATTGACTAGTTGTTTGCATGACATGCTCATCTTTAGCGGCTCGAAATAACATTTCTCAAAAAGTCTAACTAAAGAGCAAGTTGTTGTTGATTATCTCTGACTTGTGTTTGGGGGTTCATAATGACTTAATTATTGACTTTGGCCCAAAATTTTTGACAGCATTGTGTGCGTTGATCAATTCGGAGCTCAGGGACATATATTTTATTCAGATTATAAGCATTCGTTTTTCATAAATTTCAGCGCTTTAAAGAGCGCCGGGCCGTCAGTAGAGCGGCGAGGTGACAATTGCCCCTACATCATGTGGTTGACTGGCGCATACCTCGAAAAGTAGCAGGGAAAAGCAGCAAAGCACCTATATGGAACGAAAGATGAGTAATCAGAGGCTAGTATAAGATGTTCATTTTTAGCCGCTCGAAATAACGTTTTTATAAAAGTCTATTTAAAAATTTAGATATGATTTTTATTATGGTCTTGCAGCTGCTTGCAAAGAGCTAGCTTATCTTGCAGAAAAGCGATGCAATATGTAAGAATGTTGTTGGTACAGTGAACAACAGTGCCCTGAACTAGTCTGACAGAAAATTGCGTTCAAAACGACAACTGGTCAAATAATAAATATCAACTAAAGATGAGCATTAAAATCGGCAAATGTGGTGGCCACTAGCGGGTCTAAATAGTCTTGTGTTTGGTGACAACTGACCACCTCAATTTCGACCTTGGGGCAAAAATGGCATCAGAATCGTATGCTTTGAACAATTTGGGATCGAATGATACATATTTTGTTCATATTGTGGAAAGTCACTCTTGGGGGTATTTCTAGCGCTTTTCCGGTCCGCCGGCCCAGCGTGCGATGGGCGCGCGCGCGTGTATGCCGACCATGGCTGCCGCCCGCTGCCGGAGCTGCGGGAGCCGGGCCCGCCGCTCATCTGTCAGGACCGCCGACGGCAGCACGCCCGTCTGTCAGGGTCTGTCAGTGCCGGCAGTGGACGCGCGCGGGTGCGGGCCGGGTACGGACGCGCGCGGGTGCGCGCCGGTACGTGCCGGGTACGAACTCGCTTGGGTGCGCCCCGGCTGTGGACGCGCGCGGGTGCGCGCCGGGTACGGACGCGGCGTGCTCGCCGGGTAAGGACGCGGCGCGCGCTTGCGTGCCGACGATGGGCGCGCGCGCGTGCATGCCGGCCATGGCTGCGCGCGTGCGCCCCAGCCATGGACGCGCGCTAATGCGCGTCGGCGATGGGCACGCACGTGCCTGCTCGGCAATGGATGAGCGACGAGCGTGCCTCCTCGGAAATGAGTATACATGCAGACATTTCATGGATGAACGCTTTCAATATGTTCAATGTGTTGAGACGGATCTGAGTAAACTGGAGAGAAACTAGGATAGTTTTAGTCCTGCTCAACTAGTTCTGCCAATAAGTACAAACACCACCTTGCTGCCAACTGCTTACCAAATACCGCATCTGTTGTACCCTTGCATAATGCATATGTACATACAGAAAAAAATACAGTCTGTTGAAATCTGAAAACATACACTGCTGAGCACTGTGGATGAATCTGTATGAACCCTGTGGCTCAGCGAAACCTTCTGGCCCAGGTTATAATTGACAGTGAATTAGGAATCAATCCTTGCGAAGAGAAAATAGATCATTGTGCTTTAGATGAGCATAATGAAGAAGCGTTCCTGAAGTTGAGTTAGTGGCTTTCCATCATCCATGCCAGATGGCCAAAACACACCATTTCAATAC